TCCGGCTTCCGACGTGGTACGCGGAGATGTCCCAATGGAAGGAGCATTTGTGGTCGATTCGGCAATCTCAGTGGAATTGTCGAGTTCACCTGCGGGCGAATCTGCTTTTACGTCTGATGGTCGCACCAGGGGGCGGCGGCCCAGCGTGAGCGGACTGGGACGACGTCTACCGGAGGCCAAGGGATCGGGTCGATCGCGTATGCGGCCAAGAAGGCCCTGTCGCAGGCGTCGTAGCGGTGCATCGGCTGTGGATTCGCTTTCGTCCCCAGTAGTGGGCTCTTCGTCACTCGGTGCCTTGACAGTCGGCCTCCTCAGGGTGGCTCTCAGGCGCGCTAGTCTGTCGCTGCTTGCCGTCAGGGCTCCGTTTTCAGACGCCGAAGGTTCGCTTCGTCTTAAGCCAGGTCGACTGAAGAGGCCCCGGCTTGTTGAAGCAGGGTCAGTTTCCACCGCCTCTGTAGTAGCTGCGTTGGGCACCCCTTCTGTCGTTGGGACGTCAGTGTTTGCCTCCGTAGGATTATCTGTGACTTCCGGGTTTCCGGGCGTAGTGTTCTCAAGTTCTGAGGCCTCAGTTGTGTCCTGAGATCTGACGGTGGTGCTCACGTCATCGACCGTATCAGTGGTCTCTTCCAGGGCAGACGATTCGGTAACGACCTCACCACTCGCAGGAGTACCTGTCGCTTCCACGTTTCCAACGGAGTCAACCTTTTGTCTAACAGCTCCGTTGGCGAACACACTCTGGAAAAGCTCGTCTATGGATGGTTTCTGGTCTGCGTCAGCGGTTTCAGAACGGTCCCCAAGAACGGCTGAGGGTCGGCGCCGCTGGAAGAGTCCGCCTCGCACGCGCGAGGGCTTCTTCTCCCCCGAGACGGTCTCCTGCTCCCTGGCTGCTTCCTGGCCGCCTGCTGGGCGCAGGCGGCGGAACAAACCCTCCCTGGCTGGAGTCTTGTCCTCCAGTTCACTCTCTGGCTCAGCAGCGACCTCATCCTGCGGACTGGGCCGCACTCGACTCAATCGTCCGGCCCTGAGGGCAGCCAGGCGATCCCGCACTGGTAAGTTCTCCTCGTCTGTGGACGATGTGCCCGCGTCTGCACGCAGTCGAGAGCGAAGGCCTTGTCGCAGAGATGGGCGGGCCACACTGGGAACATCGTCCGTCTCGCCTGTGGTGGAGGCGGGGACAGACGTGGGACGCTGCAGACGGAAGAGCCCTCTTGGCGGTGGTCTTCTGCCCGGTCTAGCATCCGGTTCTGTCGGAGTGGTGTCAGGCGCTTCATTTGCGAACACTTGGCGGAAAATGTCGTTGACGGCGGCCGATCGTGGTGTGGTGCTGAATGCGCCCGCTTCTTCTCCGGAGGGATTCACATTGCCAAACACATTGCGGAAAAGATCCTCGACGGACGCCTGAGGCGTAGTATTGGTCCCGTTACGTGCACCGTCAGTTCCAGCGTTCTCTTCGACACTTCCGCGATCAGCCTTGCCATCCAAGCCCAGGCTTCCGAAAATGTCCAACGGAGAAGGATCGTCTTGTGGTTGCTCGGTGGTAGTGGCATCGAGTTCGACTGGAGTCGTGAAGGAATCCTCTGTGGTGATGTCTTCAGTGCTGGCGGTGGTGTCTTCCACCAGAGAAACGACAGTCGTGGTTTCCCCCTCGTCAGCTAAGGACGGGAATTCAGTTGTAGACGCGTACTCATCTGGTCCAGCTGTTGCGCCCTCTTGCGTGGTTTCCTCAGGGAACAGACCCAGGGTCGACTCTGTGGTGTTCACCACCTCGTCTGCAGTCTGAAGCGTGGGAGAAGGTGCCTCGGTCGTAGCGGTGACCTCCTGGACGGGTCGCCCACGACGGAGGAGCGGTGGTCGGCGGCCTGGACGCCTCAAGCGGAGAACGTTCCGGTCGCCGACAGGTCGCAGACGCCGGAACTGTCTTTCACGATCATCCTCCTCAACATCAGAGCCATCGGCTGCCGTGCCCAAGGTAGTTTCAGTCTCCACTGGGCGCACACGTCGGAAAAGGCCCCTTCGGCCGGGCCGCTCGACTGCCTTTGCAGCTTCCTCTTTCTCTGCTGGCAGAGGATCCTCCTGGAGGACCTGGCTACGAATCGGAGAGCCGTCTGTGTCAGGAGCCTGTTCTGTCGTTGACACTTCGCCGAGATCGGACGGAGCAGTTGTTGTCTCGAGTAGATCTGTCGTCGTTTCCAGCAAATCTGAAGGCGTTGTAGCAACCGTTGGGGGCAGTTCCGTGGCGGGCTCACTCGGACGGCCTGGACGCCTCAAGCGGAGAACGTTCCGGCCGCCGACGGGGCGCAGCCGCCGGAACTGTCTTTCGCGACCGTCCTCCTCGACATCAGAGCCATCGACTGCCGTGTCTAAGGCAATGTCGGCTTCCGCCGGACGTACACGCCGGAACAGACCCCTTCGGCCGGGCGGTCTGGCTGGCTTTGCAGTCTCCTCCTCTTCTGGCAGGGGATCCTCCTCGGGGTCTTGCTGGAGGACCTGGCCACGAACCGTAGAGCTGTCTGTATCAGGGGTCTGTTCTGTCGTCGGCACCTCGTCAAGATCGGGCAGAGCGGTTGTGCTTTCGAGTCCAATTGTCGTTGTCTCTTGGAGTTCTGAAGAGACTGTTGTGGCGACCGCAATGGGTAGCTCCGTAACAGGCTCACTCGGACGGCCTGGACGCCTTAAGCGGAGAACGTTCCGGCCGCCGACAGGTCGCAGTCGCCGGAACTGTCTTTCACGACCGTCTTCCTCGACATCAGAGCCATCGGCTGCTGTGCCCAGGGCAGTTTCTGTCTCCGCCGGACGCAGACGCCGGAATAGGCCCCTCCGACCAGGCCGCTGGACTGCCTTTGCGGCATCCTCCTCCTCTACTGGCAGCGGTTCCTCTGGAGGTCTTCCTGGAGGACCTGGCTAGGAACGGGAGGGCTGTCCGTGTCAGGAACCTGTTCTGTCGTCGACAATTCGCCGAGATCTGGCAGAATGGTCGTGCTCTCGATCACGAGTCCGTCAGTCGTTGTCTCTAGCGATTCGGCAGAGGCTGTTGTGGCGACTGTAGGAGGCAGTTCCGTGACGGGCTCACTCGGACGGCCTGGGCGCCTCAAGCGGAGAACGTTCCGGCCGCCGACAGGGCGCAGACGCCGGAACTGTCTTTCGCGACCGTCCTCCTCGACATCAGAGCCATCGGCTGCCGTGCCCAAGGCAGTTTCAGTCTCCGCCGGGCGCACACGTCGGAAAAGGCCCCTTCGGCCGGGCCGCTCGACTGCCTCTGCAGCTTCCTCTTTCTCTTCCGGAAGGGGGTCCTCCTGGAGGATCTGGCTGCGAATTGGAGAGCTATCTGCGTCAGGAGTCGCTTCTGTCGTTGATACTTCGCCGAGATCGGGCAAAGCGGTTGTTGTCTCGAGCCCGTCCGTCGTTGTCTCTAGCAACTCTGAAGACGCTGTTGTGGTGGCCGAAACTGGTAGCTCCGTGACGGGTGCGCTGCCCAAGATAGCCGCAATTCCTGCAGGGTCTTCAGTGACCTCCTCAGGCACACTCTCCGTCGCCTCAGCTTCCACATCAGTGACGGCATCCGCAGTAAACTCGGGCGATTCTGTGGCCGACTCCGACACCAGCTCGGCCAGCCGTCTCCGGCCACCGTCCCTGGATCTTCCCCGCAGCGCCGACAGCCTGTCGCGGCCCCGAAGCGCAATCCTGCGCAGGCCGCGCTGCGTCGTCGTCTCCTCGAGCGCCGACTCCGTGGTCACATCCAGCGGCTCCTCGACCGCCTCCCGCGCTTCATCAGGAGCGGGCTCCTCGCCCTGGCGCCGCAGACCGCTCCTGACTCGGCTGCGCAGCGATCCGCCGAGCTCCGGCCGCTCATCCGTGGTCTCCTGTCCAGTCCGCCGCCGCGAGCTGTCCAGTCGCCTCAGCGTGTTCCTCAGTCTGAAGTCGGACCCTCCACGGCGTAGCGGGGCGCGACGGCCAGTCGCCGCCGGCCCGCGCGCGCTCACCGCCTGAGGCAGATCGTTGTCGAACAGCGCCGACGTCCTGACGCTCGACTCGATTCTTCGCCGGTCGGTCTCGATGGCGTCCACGGCTTGTTTGGGCGCGGCCGTGGGCTCCCCCTCGCGCGCCCCCTGCAGGGCTGACTCAAACAGCGGCGTGCGGACTGTGGTGAGGACTCCATACCCGGCAGGCTCGGCCTCGCTGGTCTGCTCCAGGTTGTCAATTGTGACCTCGTTGTCGCGCAGCTCCGGCGGGGGTGTGGGGGAGCTCTCGGACTCGCCTGAGCTGCGGTCCGACCCACCACGGTCGCGCGGACGCTTCAGACGGATCACGCGGATCTTCCGCTCATCCTGCCGACGCGAGGGCCTATCTTGTCCTGCTTCGGACGCGGTCAGCTCTTCCTCGGGTCCTTCGGTGGGTTCTTCTGTCGGTCGCTCCGTAGGTTCTTCCGTGGGGCCCGCTGAAGAGCGGTCAAACGGTCGGCGCAGACGAATGCGGACCCGGCGTTTGGGTTCGGGTTCCAGGCTGTTGGCAGCCTCGTCTGTAAGGTCAAGCAGCGACTCGAACCCAGCTGGGTCATTGGTTAATTTGCTGGAGGCCTCGCTAGCGGCGTTAGGGGAGTCGCGCCCGGCGCCGGCCGAGGCCTCGTTCTGCTCGGGCAGACCCACGCCGTCAGGTCCCGTGCTGACCTGAAACCGAGCACCGCGTATCAGAGCGGTGCCGCGCTAGGGCAGCCACTAGGGCAGCGGGGCGGGTCGCTAGGGCAGCGCTCCCGGCTAGGACAGCTACGGAGGGAGCCTGCAGTAGCAGGACGTCCACTCAGCTAAGACAGCAATGTTCAGCTGGTTGACTGATGGCCGCTTTTCGAACAGCTTTCTATCAACTACTGGCAGAGCCAAAACACGTTGCTCTAGGAACACTTAAAGCGTTAGTAACACGACTGGATGTAGACCCATGCACGCGTTCAAACATCTCACAACAAACGCCAGAGCACACACGTAAAACATGCCATTCCAAAAGTTATCGCTTTCTCGCAGCTGGTCGGCCCTATCCTCCCGTTTCTAACATGAGCTAGCTGTTATATACAAACGCCGCTTTTGCCTAACGTCTAGAAAGCACGGCCGACCAGGACACACACTGACCTCCGAGGGGCTCCCTGTCGGATCAGACTGGTCCTCGGAGTCAGGCTCCGGTTTGGTGGGAGGCGTCGGACGAGACCGATTGAGCGTGACATATCTGAAACAACCGTCACAACTGTCACACGCCTGACACTTGGCCCCGACACAACACATTGCTGGAGGAGCACGCCAATGAGATTCGTGGTAGGATAGCGGTCTGTCCTAGTGGCGCTTAGCTGCCTGACGGATCGTAAAAAGGACAGGTAGCGAACCTGGTCAGACTGCAGCAGCCAAAGGCCTCCGGGTTACGATGTACACAATTAAATGCCGACGCTCAGGCTTCCAGCCAAAGGTTTCGTCACACCATGCCACCACACACTTCGAGGCATGGCGATATCGGCCCGCGGGCGCCTTGTGTTTTGGCCACCACGCCGCATCTCCGCAGCCTCACCTTCTGCCGCCGAAGTCAGCGTCCGCGGTCTGCCCGTCCTCATCAGCCGTCGCCGAGGGCCGCCCACGCCGCAGCGTGACGTACTGCCGCCGCCCCTTGCCGGATGACGTCACATCGCCACTGTCGTCAGCTGGCGTTGTCTGCGGTTGCCTGAGGGGGGGGGGGGGGCGATCGGAGTCAGGACGCTGTGGTTGTGATGGGTGGATGTGCTCTCTCATGGCATAGTTCGGTGCTGTCTCCGTTTCCAAGAAATGTTTGCCTAGTTTCCCACTCACCCACTTAATTTTTTCCTTGTCTCCCTATATTAAAGAAACGGTTCTTCCCGTTTTAATTTTTTGAACTGGAGGAAGAGCGCTTCAGCTTATAAGGATACCCTACAAGATACCACCGTTTCCAACCCAGATCAAGAGAACAGCATCCAAGTTCAGCATTACAAGAGCCGTCCTCACTACAGCGTTGATAAGACAGTAGCATGAGCCTTATTCCTCGGAGAAAACCAGGAGAATTAGAGAGTAGAGGAGAGAACAATGACATAAGTGAATTCCTTTTGCTATTGTTTCGATATGTTGCAAAAATATCAACCCAACTACATCTTCATTCTCCTGGTTTTCTCCGAGGAATAACGCTATACTTCTGTCTCACTTATGTGAATAATGTTCCTCGCTAATACACTGAACAACTCACTGCAGCGTTTATCCATCGCAGTGCACAACCAGCGCAGAAGCACGATACTACCAAATATATGTATAGCCGTGGAGAGGACTGCACTGGGGACTATCGGCTGATCTATTCGAGATCCGTATCAGCTGATACACATTGTTAGCGCGGACTTGAAGTGAACGAGTGCCTTCACAAGCATGCCACATGTGAATAGGATTAAACTGCCTGTCAAGTGATGGCTTGTCCGGACGAGATGATGTGTTGTGTGCTTTCGGTCCATCAGAGTTCGACATTCAGCCAGATCTTATCAGTCATTGCTGACGTTGAAAATTAGATGCAGAAATTCGTTGAGCTCGTCAGCTTCAGTCGACGTATTCAGCCTTGTGGCTTTAAGTCACAATGTCCGCAGACATGCAGCTCAAAAAGATGTGGAATCTCGCGAGATACTGCTTGTGACAGACTCGGTATTTTCTTTTTCACGGCGTGCGCCACACGAACCCCAAAAACACCAGCACAACGACCAAAGTTTGCTGTAAAGGCCCCACGGCGAAGCCACAAGCCTAACGCTGTACGCGATGCAACTATCAACATCCTAGCACTCAGCGCCTGACCGCGCTGCCCCACAGAAGCCAACCCACCTGTTCCGCTGGATGCTGCTGTACTGGGGCCGACGGCGGGTGTTGCTGACGGCCTCTGACCCAGTGCCCTCGGGTCCGTCTTGCGTGACCTCTGGCCGCGGGCGGCGCAACAGGGACAGTCGGGGGCGGCTGTTCTCAGGCTCAGCCTCCGCCTCGTCTGCGGACGACGGTCCGGGCGTTGTCCCATCGGTGGGCTGCTCGCGGGCGATCGCAGAGTAGCTGAAAACGGAGCGTCTCGGCGTCAGCTACCACCCGGGGAATGAGTTATATATCCAGGCAATCTGCTAACCAACAAGTAACACAAGAATCCAGGTGTGACAGTTCACCAGCGCTGCTTCCTGCAATGCAAAACATGCACGATCGCAGTCCATATCAACTCACCCAGTGATCATAAAACAATGGCCCTTCCTCCTGCCCAGAAAACTAGCGCTTGTGACGTCAGTACTCACCGTGGCCGGGCGGTGGTGGTGGTCTGACCACCGATAACCTTAACCAGCGTCTGGCGGTCCTTCGCCGACAGCAGCCCTGGGCCCACCGCGTCAGCCCCGCCCCCGTCTAGCAGCTTCTGCACGGCGTCCAGGCCGCCTGCCGACAATGAGTGATGATGTCAGCAAAGGACGCAGGGAACATGCACGTCCAGGGGTGTGTCGTCACCCAAAGGGACATTTTATAGCGTTGGCGGCGAAAATGTTGAATGTGAGCTCAGCAATCACATCTGATATCCGCAGAGTTCGCGGTTTGTCCGCACAGCGAAGCGTCGCAGCACCAGCGTGTCTGCGCTACGGCGGTCAATAGGCTGGAGTTTATATGCAGGGTAGCACAAGACATTCCACATCCCAAATTCCCCTGGATGGTGGATTTGGGCTAGACCATACTAAACGGGTGGCATTCTTCCACCGATAGATAAGCCATAGATTTCGTCGGATTTCGGGACTGAACCATGTCTATAACTTATATTTGTGGCCCTCGTGCTCAATGTGCGAAATCTGATAAGCCAACCGCAAATGGCGTTCCAACATACCGCTTTTCAAGACGCTTAAAACTTCACTGACTGGCATCGTTTTGTCATGCATCTAATTAAATTTCCCGAAGGAGTGGTTTTTGGAATTGTCGTACTAAACAAACAAATCATGCGCAGGGAAAATTCCCCACCATCCCGAAAGGTACTTACAGTAAAGCGCACAGTTTCTCTTTTGATCTTTCCTCCAAGTGATAACGAACGATCTCACACTCGCCCTGATACGGGAGCATACTTCACCTGTCCCCCCCCCCCGTCCCTAAGGTAGTTTGAGGAGACCTCACCGTCTGAAAAGGTGTAATTTTCTGGAAGATTTGAACTTTGACATGACATACTTGGGATAATTGTTAACCCAGCAATATAAAAGCTAGAACCAATCGCTAGAGCTCATTGAAAACAATCTACTGGTGTTTTACACTAATCTTTATCTTCACTAGTGCGGAAACGCCAGGGGCCAGGGCCGCATCGCCCCTACTCCCTTTTATCAGTCCGCGCTAAGGAAAACTCCGCATCAGGGCGAGGGTTAACGTAGCATGCATCGCCGCGACCTTGCCGCGCTTCCTAGCCTGACCAATGTTTTGCCGATCAGCATTCGACCGCGATTACACGTCAGACAAGCGCTACTTGTGAGACAAGACATCGCACGTTTGCGATAAATCGTGGTCACACTTCGAACCGGGCGTCTACAAAAATCGCAGTGAGAAATGACTCCAAGCGACGCATTCCCTTGTCTCGCGCCCGTGGCACAGGCTTAACTCAGCGAGGCCGTCGCCCGCTGCTGGACTGACCGAGCTGTTGAATGAGCGCCAGCAGCTGCTTAAGCTCCTCTGGGTCCGACTCGTCCGCTTCGGCAGGCGGCGACGGCTTCGGTCTGCTGGCCGCGCCTGCGCCTCGGGAGCCGCCGAGAACCTGCACGAGAGGGGCGGGTCAGCGTGTGCAGAGGCGTCCGGCTCTGTCAGCGTCTCACGCGGCGGCGTCACTCGTCCGTCACGGCGGCGTCACTCGTCCGTCACGGCGGCGTCGCTCGCCGAGTACGGCGACGTCACTTGTCCAACACGGCGGTGTTACTCGCCCAGTATGACGGCGTCACTGGACCAACACGGCGGCGTCACTTGTCCAACACGGCGGCGTCACTTGTCCAACACGGCGGCGTCACTTGTCCAACACGGCGACGTCACTTGTCCAACACGGCGGCGTCACTTGTCCAACACGGCGGCGTCACATGTCCAACACGGCGGCGTCACTCGTCCGTCGCGGCGGCGTCGCTCGCCCAGTACGGCGGCGTCACTTATCCAACACGGCGACGTCACTTGTCCAACACGGCGGCGTCACTTGTCCAACACGGCGGTGTTACTCGCCCAGTATGACGGCGTCGCTTGACCAACACGGCGGCGTCACTTGTCCAACACGACGGTGTTACTCGCCCAGTACGGCGGCGTTACTTGTCCGTCTGCGCCACTCGTCTGTCCGCTCGGAAGTTGAGCGTCATTTGGCATTGTCCTGGCACCAAGCATGACGCCGGCAAGTGCTACCACTACGGGCGTTTTGTGAGGTGAAGTTGAGATCATATCGCTTGCGAGCTGGAGATGAATACTTATAACTCAAGGCGATAACCGGTCGGGCATTGTGCATGCTAATGTATTACCATGTTTTATTTATGGTGGCATTCTTAGGCCATGACTACCTAGACATAGTTCTCAGAATGTGAGGGCATATTTGCATTCATTATGCTTCTAAACACTCTATCTCCTTCGGTATGTCATGTTGAAGGCCTATCAGTGCATCAATCTGGGGTATCGAGAAGGATGACTCTCCTTAAGGCATAAAAAGCACTATTACACCCGCAGGCATGTACGTGATAACACTGGCAATAGGACAAATCGCATCTGACGGATACGCTGGGAACGCGAATGCATGCCTGATGACTTGTGCCGAGAACGTGGAGGCCGAAGTGTGTCTGTCCTGCGTTCTGACCTTGGATGAGAGCTTATCCCTACTTCAGAGCTCACGGGTCGCTATCGCCACAAACAGCATATGGTATGCTGTTCAACACAGCCACATATACCGCCGACAGCACTTCCGTGTATTTCAACCAATCACTGGCATTGAGTGAAACGTTAAGTTTTTGTGAAAGCTTGAGTGTGCGGCTGCGTCGTACCACGTATGAAACGCACAGAATGCGAATTGAAGCATTCGTGAAATACGTTAGCGGCATTAATGACGCGAAAGTGGTATGTCAATTACACAAACAACATTAAGAGTTGCATGTGAGTAGGAAGACACACGGTAAGAACTGCTGTCAATATGCAGTGCTCGGTGGAAAAGCGTTGGAAAATAACCCACGAGCCACGCCATCGATATCCTGCCGCTATACCAAATCGTTATTCTTTCATCCAGCGAGTGCTTTACGGCATACGTATCTCAAACGGCGCCTAGTCTCAAGGTGATCGCTTTAAAACGGCTGTTGCAAGTTGCCTACATCTTATCGTCTACAATAAACAACAGACTGGAGAATGTAATAGTGTCAAAAACACGCTTTTAACTATCTGCTTATGGTTTCCTCCAATGACCTCGAAAACAAGCGAGTACCACATCATTTTCTACCATATTCCGCTGACGTCAGGAACTGGCTTGCATCACTAGGCACCTTCCCGTAACCACTAATTTCTGTCTAACGAGCCGGTTCCCTTTGATATGCATCCTGCTTCTTTCTCCACCAGCACCAGTTTGTGCTAAAGTTGCCGAAGTTTACTGATCTGTTTGTATAATAGATGGGGGCTTGCAAAACCGGGAGCCACATGAGTTCAAATTGTTGTTGATCAGCTGGAGACCAACAATGATGCAATCACGTACTAAAGTGAGCCCACGGTGCTTATCGCAAGGGCCATCTGTAGCTTTCAGAAGGTGATCCACCGCTCAGATGTGCGGTGATGTGTGCTCCGCCAATGCCCCCATCAACACAACTACTGATGTGTAGCGATCCGGGCAGCACGTCCTCCTAAAACTGATCGTGAGTTTCAGTCCAAAGTAAATGATCTTTCTATATCGGTCACGTGACCTTCAAAGCCGGCCACTTCCATCCTCTGAAGCGCACAAGGTGCCTGTGCCGTCCGAACCAATGCCACAATCTGCATAGTCTGTACATAATGTTCGTTAGCCATTGGCGATTGCTTCTTAATCTTGTTGTCATTCAGTGATTTCTGTTACACAGCACGACGTTGACCAGCCCGGGGTCACTACCGACTTAACATGCCAGCTCTGTGACATCTGGTGATTTTTTAAGTGACGTAAAATAACCCTCAGCGGTCTATGGTCGTGCTCAGTGTTCCCCCTATCACAGGCATGTGCGGTCTGACCACCTTCGTTCGACCTGCATTTTCGCCGAGCTCGACGAGTTACCTTTAATGCCCCCCAAGACCTTCAAGAGACAACCCCATGTGACCTTCAGCGACCTCCATACCTCCCAGCGGACCACCGTGAACTTCCTTCAGAATGCACCTTTCCCGGTTGAGCCCATTCCGTCACGTAACATTAACCCTTAATGACCTACAATAACCTTCATTGATAACCTAATGTCGGTTGGCAGCAGCAGCGGCCAAATCGGTCTTCACACGTAGTAATCACTGACCTTTAGTGATCGTCAACGACCAGCAGTGACGCGCAGTAAGCTCTCAAGACCCACCTCCGGTTCGGGTCTCTTCTCGGCGGCGCTTATGCTCGTGTCCGGCCTCTTCGGCCGAGCCGGCAGGTCAAGGTCGAGCGGTGGCAGGTCAGCCGTGTCGTAGTCCTCGTAGAACTGCTCGAACGGATCGGGCGTGACCTCGCCGATGTTGCCCTCCGGCTCCGCCGGCAGCACGGTCGGCTCCTTGGTCGGCGGGAACGTGATCGACTGGACCTCTTTAGCCACGATCTGTGGACAGGGGTGGGAATGCCACGGCTGCGGGACGCTGACTGCGGTGTAGGTTTGTGCTGTGGAACTTCTGACGTACCTTAAACGTCTAGCTCGAAATCCAGCTCCAGCGGGTACGAACTAGGCTTGTGGGTGTGCTTACGACCTGCTGTTACCAACATCACCCTCGGACGACTAGCCAGGCCTAAAAGGTCGAGCGTTGTCCATAATTGAAGTTAACGAATTAATTGAACACCACAATTGCGATCGGCCAGCAACAAGCTCTTTTGAGAAATTAACGCACAGCCAAATGCGGAAGAACAACATATAACATAACCAATGTCTTTATCGTTGGCTGACCTTCTTCCATTACACCCATAGACGCTACTCCTTCGCAAAACCCACCCCATAATGACACCCCTCTCGCCCACCCCTGCGATGACGCCCCTCCCAACCGTCCCCATGATGACGCCCTCTCACCCGCCCCCTTGGTGACGCCCTTGCCACCGGTGCCTGCAACCCAACTGCGGCACAGACCTTGCACTTGACGTTCCTGGGGAAGTCACAGGAGTCGGTCTGCCTGTTGAAGAGCAGGCCGGACGGGCAGGTGAAGCTGTGCGGCACGATGCCAAGGGGGCCGCCGGCCAGACACCAGAAGTACTTGTTACACTCCTCCGGGTGGGCGAAGAAGCCCTCCCGCTTGCAGTTGAAGCCTGCCGGGGCGTAAGGCACGGCTCGGTCAAATCAAGACCGAGAAATGCTGTGGGTGGCGTCCGACGAGATTATTCTGACCCAGCGGCGGCATATCTGACGTGGGGTGTGTTTAATATTATTCCTATCATGCAGCAATAATTGAGACGATTTTAGGACGAAAGTGACTTTCACGGTTGCTGGTTTCGTGGGTATGCCCGTCGTTAAGAGCAAGGAAACACAAACTATCTGCCCGGGCGTCTTGCCCGGCTAATGTATTGACGCCATGGCCACGACTGTTTTGCGTCATGACGTCACAAGCTACCGTTCGGCGAGCCAATGGCAGCGCTAGAAACGCAGTGCGTTCGTCACCTGCTCCGGGGTCCGGCGTCGCCGGCGGGGGTGGCGTCGGTCCCTTCGCTTGCTTCGGCAGGTCCCTACAACAGCAGGGTACTCAGGTCAGTCTACGGACACTTCAGCAGGTCACTGTGCACCTCACGCGAAGAAGAAAAAACTCGCGGGCTGACTTCACCAAAATGCTATCGTTCATGCCGTGCGTCAGGTTTGGCTGCATGTCTGTCGTGCGTGACAAGTATCATGTTTGGCATCATGAGTGACAAATGTTCGTGACCCTGGAACAACCACTAAGCACAAAAACATACATCGGCATGCAAAGATTTGACCAATGCCACACACGGACACTGGTACTAAAATCGCAAACGGAGACCCAATAGGAACTTGCTGGTGGCTTGAGTTAAAACAGCACGTGTTGGACTGTAAAAAAGATAGCATTGCAATTGCCCACCATCAGGAGCGTCCTACACGCGTTGTGTCTTCTGTGTTCAATGCTCAAACTTCTGAACAAGGCAACCGTGACATTTAATATGTGTGGTCGGACTGTGAGCTTCCTCCAAAACCATGCGATGCTTTTGGATGAGAATGCTTTGAATCTTCATTTGTGACTTAAGGGGTTTCATTCCTAAGCGCCATGCCTAAGAAGTCAGGTGATTCCCTGCAGCCAGATGACTGTGTCAGAAGAATTCAGATGCCCCGGTGCCACTGCGTCCGTATGGAAGTCAGATGCCCCGGTCCCACTGCGTCCGTACGGAAGTCAGATGCCCCGGGCCCACTGCGTCCGTATGGAAGCCACGTGCCCCGGTCCCACTGCGTCCCTATGGAGGTCAGATGCCCCGGGCCCACTGCGTCCATACACTTGGGTTTACGTCCGCAGAAGGACAACGCAGAGCAATCACTGGCGACGGGGGGAAGTCTATGCGCATCCGGCCATGCCCTTCCTAATTCCGATCACTCGCTGTCGAAGACCACCATCAATAAGAAAACATTTACGGATGGGGTCGGGAAAAACATGAAGCTAAGCGCATTTGGCGGAATGTTAAAGTCGTATGTTTGCTGTTATAATGCTAAGTTAACAGCACAATATACTCGTGCATCGAATCGCTGACCACTGAACCATTACAAAAAGACCGAGGTGTTTCCTGAAGGAACGGAGACCAAGTAACGAGTACTTTTCTGTCAAGATTGCAGCTTCACTGAATATAATATTTTAAAAAAGCACTCTTAATCAACCTAGCGGACTTATATGTAGGCGTTAATAGTCAGCGCATAAGCCAAGTAGCAATCAAAACCAGCTTTAATTGCCGCCAGTGAAATTCGGGCCCTTTTGATCCGGATTGTACGGGTGGATACGCGGGAGTGCTTACCCTGGAGCCGGGGCTAGGAACGCCTCCTTAGCCGCCTCGATGAGGGGGTACGGCTTGCCAGAGCAGCGGCCGCGGAAGTCGTCGTTGTCGATCGACCAGAACATGATGCCGCCCAGACGGTTGTCACGCACATATTCTGCCTGAGGACGACCAAGGGTGTGGTGTCGGAAGACAGGTGGGGATGGAACCTGTTGTCAGGATGATTATCTTACACGTGTTTTGTCTGTGGGACGCCAAAGATGGTCAGATAGGCAGGGAAAGAACATGGTGCTGCCGAGATGACTATGTTCCGTCAGTGGAACGTACGAGGCTCAAGATGGGATGCCAAAAGATGGTATTTTTCAGTACCTTCAGCCAGAAAAATCACTTAGGTCGGCCAAGCAAGGAGACTCAAGTTTGAAATAGGTTCGACGACACCAAAACGGTATCTCTCATGCCAACTCCTTTTTTGGGTAGTGGACTTATTAGCTTACCAAAGTTTACTAATAGCTCAACATCACACCCGATAACAGCCCTTTTAACAGTGTGCATAGCACTGGACCTCATGCCTTGCCACACTTCAAACCCACTGCTGACATCGTTCATTATTAAAACAAACGTCTTACTTTTTATGGCTAATTCGCCACCTCATCCGTGGATTTACATCCTTTTTGTGTTGAATTAGTCATTGCAGTATTGTAGTTACCTCACTTTTCTCGATAGATAAGTCACCGCACCAGCGACTCACCTTCTTCCTGGCGATGAACTCGTCGTCGTAGCCAACCCACTGCTTGCCGCTGGTGGCGTACGGGCCCATGGCGTCGGGGTAGGGCCGGAACACCTTCCACTCATCCACCGCCACGTGCTCACAGATCTGCACAACCACCAGACGCCAGCGTTATTCATTTGTGTATGCGTGCGCTCCATACCGCACAGGTCCGCTTGCTCGTCTCAGCGTCAACGCACTTCGGGTACAATTTGAAATACGTGTGGGGGTGGGTGAGGGGGGGGGGGGGGACATGCGGCAGCATTGTGCAGCGCGTAAAACAATCCACAATTCCATCCGACGAAAGGGCGGAGGTAGAATAATCCGGTGAACTGGACGACACAGCCTGGGTGGTGGGTTCTGGATAAACGCGGCGGGCCATGTCTGACAGGTGCTCTGCGCCTGAAGTCACTCATGCAAACCATGCGGAGTATTTGTTATATCTCGATTTCCCTTTTTTCTCCCAGGAATAAGGCCATTACAACTGTCTCATCTACGGGAATATTTGTTTCTTTAAATATCGTAGCTAGTTAAATAACGCGTGGTGATTTGTCATAATTTCTATCAAAGCGCTCCTTTATAGGACTTGTCGACTACGCATGCATGTCTACGATTAAGTTTATAGGACTATCATCTGTCTGACATGAGCTTGTTCGGCGTTTGTCAGTTAGACGCAGTGCGCAGGAATGAACGTTAATGCCGAACACACAAACATACACAAATGCTGTTAAAAATAAAAGTGAAATGAAAAACGACAATATCGTCAACACATGTTACCCATCGTAATGCATACGCAAGAGAATACGTGCCACGTTTTGTTCTTCGGTCATGCATGGCTCGGTGCGACTCAGGGAGCACTGGCAGTGAAACAAAGCTTTTCCACCACAGTCTTAGCCACATGTTTATAGCGCATGTAAGCCAGCCCTCCGCGGCCAGAGGGATGGCCGCGCTCAGAGCACTTGGGACGCTCCCCACCTGCCGCACTGCCTCACCTCGTAGAAGCTGAGGTAGCCGTCCTCCTTGGTGCTCTTGCCCTTGGTGCCGGCCTTCTCGGCGGCCGCCTGCAGACCGCTGAAGTTCTCGTCCAGCAGGGTGTAGGACCTGCCGTAGGTGGGGATGCCCACCACAAGCTTGCGCCGATCGGCCCCCGACTTCAGGTAGAACCGCACCGTGTAGTCCTGAGAACGGATGTCTGCTTAGCACCCTGATACCCGCATGCGCATGCCACGGAACGCAGTCCTGCGCGTGCTTGGTGATGTGATGTGGAAGTATGCAAGAGAAGATACGATTAGTTCTTGCCGACGCGGGGTCGTTTTTATCGAACGGCCTACGCGGCGTAAAGGTCACTGCTTGCCGGACATCCTGCCGGTTGATCTGATCAGAATAAAAACAGCTGACCACTGGCAGAATACAGAAGTGATCGCAATCTCTGAAGTTTACTTACGGAGAACATAGGGTTGAGCTAGTATTATGTTCCGGTTTTGGAGTTGTCCGTAAAGCTAGAATAAAGTATAGGCCAAGATAAAACGTGTTATAGTATTAGAACTCCTGTGCAGGTTTCAACGACACTGTGAGTGTCAGTCAGAGTGCCAGCGAATAACTTCTGACACGTCATTAGCTGGAGTTTCGTATTTCCCCTTCGACCATGTAAGCTCGGAATGGCTATTTGCGATCTACTTACGGACGGCGCTCCATACCTTCGGCGCAATAAAAAGGCTGTTACGATAAGCCGCAACAACGTACGCATTCGATTGCCTTTTATTTGCGATTCCCCGACACTACAGGCTGTAATGTAACCGTAAAATCGGCTATGTAGAATGCAACACAAGAATCAGGTCTTCAAGGCTCACCACTGGTTCAGGCTCGGATTTCCTTTCACCAGCAATGCGTGAAACGCGGCGGCGCCACTGACCGCTGGCAGCGTGCCTCACTCCGGATTCTCAGATGAGCACACTCACCACGTTCAGCTCGCTGCGGTAGTCGAACTCGGAGGTGCCCGGGGCGGCCAAGAGTGGTGCGTGGTGATCCGTCAGAGCCTCGGTCGAGGCGTGGTAGTCGTACGCCAGGATGTTGAAGAAGTCCACCACACTGGAGCACAGAATGGCGTTGCAGTGAAGTGCTTAGAAAACAATAGCGCATGATTAAGGCAATAACAAGGACGGGCGAAGTTGCGCTCAAATGCAGGTGTTACCATGTCGAAGTTAACAACAGCTAAGTGGCCCACTGGGCTGCGTGTTTTACCAAAGATGAGCATGCTTTCATGACATTCTTGCAACAATCTCGACCCGATGTCGATTAAATAAGACGCAGCGAGAACATCAAGTCGCGGCTTGCTTTTCCGTTTTGGTAGACGCAGTCTCGAATGAGCCAGACACGCAGCTTTTAATAATTCATTAAAACCTTTGTAAAAGAAACGGCTCGATAAATATGCACACTTGTCTGGAACCCACACATCATCACCGGCATGACATCATCGCTGGAGCAGGCCATGCAGTCGTGGATTTTGTGGAATTATTTTCGGTCCGAAGATTACAAGGGAATTTCCAAAAGATCGCAACATATGGCATGCACGATAAACGAGGACATAAGCGAATTCGCGGCCCAAATTTCAGCAGAAGTGCCCGTCAAGATTATCACGTTTGCAACGAGAAGTCATTCAGATTTCAGGTCTGGAGAAGAGAAGCCCTGGCCGTTTTGGGCATTTTACGTCACCATCATCGTTTTGCGTCACTCGGTCAGTGCTTATCCCTTGTGGAATCGGCCAATCCCGGGCCCGATTCACACCGCAACGCCAAATGCCCGATTCGCCCGACATGCGAACGCCAACCGGGAGTTATGCCTATTGCCAACACTCGAAGAAGCGTTGGCCACTAGCTCTCGCTAGCACCAGCTCTCTCCAGCATAGGCTTCATTGATAAGCTTAGCTTACGTGTATTTATCTGCAATGAATTACACCATTTGCGTTTTAACGCACGCTGGCGCAATGTCGATCATACTTTCTCCGTGTGCCCAAGTCGACCTTCACGGCATGGTTCATTGCGGCAGGGATGAGTAAGACGTAACCGCAAAGATGACTTGTGAGTTGCGTTTCCCAACAGCGTGCGGAACCGCAGAGAATCCGGGGCGTAGTTCGGTGTGAGGTGTGGAGAGAACGTCAATCAGTACGTTTGACTGGCTCTATTTTCTGAAGGCGGAGGCGGTGGCTCGCCCCGTAGTAAGAGCCACTGAGTCAGCCACCACCTGTCTGTATCCGGCCCTGCCAGCAGCCGCTCCGTGCTGGATCAGCTTAGGCCGCCAGTCATAATCCCAGCGGCATTTATAATTGAAATTCCTCAGGGGAATCTTTGCAACCAGCTGAAAAGGAAGATCAGCTGCGAAGACGAAAGATTCCTGCCCATGTGTAGTGTCCTTTGTTCGCGATGGTGGCGGCATGGTCTGTTGCAACGAGGCGCGGTGTCACTGATGCGCTAACAAAGAAAACTGCTTGCGCAATTAGCTGGTCTTCCCTCAGCAGACCACTCATGATCAGATAACCAGACGTCGGAGGACGTGTCAGCATTTTTGGGTGACACGCAGACGTTGAGCACGACCGAGAGACAGGAGAGACTTCCCATTCAGATGGGCTCCCACGCGTTGATACCCCGCGCCAGCGCGTCACGCATGCGTGCCGGTCTGCTCAGAGGCGCGGGTAATTTGCACCGAGGAAAAGTCACGAACACTCATGCTTTGGGAAGATCACATGTCGCTAAAATTACTCAACACGCATTTATGGAAAAGTGTGAGCAAAAAAGTGATGGTGCAACTACTGGAAGCACAGCGGGACACCCATAGCCAGGCGGGCATTTTTGGTACACCAGATGACACCAGATGAATCACCGGAGGTCATCATGAGGTGACATCGTGGGAATCACAGATGGTAATTTTAACGATTGGGCCTGCTAAATGATTTCTTTATCTCTGGTTCTCCAAAACACAGATTCTGATTTCATGAAGTACCATTTCTAGTTCAAGGCATCACAAGCATGAAAAATTTCGCCGCTCCGACGCCATGTCCTCCGTCGTGAGGCTAGTAATTATGAGCAGAGCTTTAATGTCTGCAGTTAGCGACCTTCAATATACCATGAGGTCTACTGGTTTAGTGACGCTTCAAGAAACAATGGAAAACACACAAAACACTGTCAATGCCCGCAGATTCAAGCTGTACATCACATCACATCATCACATCACCACAGGTGAGATAAAGCGATCGAAGGGAAGTGAAGTGAACCAAGTGAAGTGTGGTCACTCGTGGTCATCAGCGTCGTATAATGAGCGTCTTGATGCGTCGTGTATTCACAATGCACACAATGTTTGATGTCGTCGTTTAACCAGTCCACATGGTATAATGAGAGCAGATAACTGTCAGCATAAGAACTCTTGTCGAAAAACCCGGGCTCAAGCCTGTCCTGCTTATATCAGCCATGGGTTCTGTCGTAGTCAAGGTTCTCCCATGCAGTCACCTCCTAATGGACCAATGGAAATAGCAAAAAACTTTGCAGAATCGCCATGGTGCAAAGTGAAGCTCCTGGCAAAACGAGCCGTAAGAAATAACTTGGGAGAGATGCCCTCAATATTCCATACTTTTGGCTTAAAGACAATTCTTTGTCGGTAGACCCAGCCTTTTTAAAGTTTGCAGACTGCAAGATTAACACTCGTATATGAGAAAAATCACGTCTGAAAACCTGAGGCGCTAGCACACGCTGTCACAGATACCACCGCAAGAATAGATGACGCTCACGCGTCCGGACAACATGCTCCGCGGAACAGCTTGGTGCAGCCTGCTGTTCCTAGCATGCCTCTCACGAAATCATGCCCATGATGATAAAAGTAAGATTACCGCTATGGAACACTGCAGCGCACTAGGCGTCCTCAAAACTACACGTCGTTGTCACCAGAAGACAGGTAAGCATTTGCTAGGAGACATCTCCCCAACAGCACACTGGCGACGTTGCCTACTGACGCTCCCTCCCCCCCCCCCCCCTCTCCATTCCTTAGCCCTCCTCCCCAGAAAATGGAAAACCCTGAGTTCACTAACGCGTTGAGTCGAGGCACGTCAAAGCCCTTCTCGATGTTGGAGATACCGGCAGGCACGGCCACGGTCAGCAGCAGCGCGGGGACGATTCGTCTGCAGGGACTCGGCCTCGAACGCCGTCCGCAGCTCCTGCAGCCGCAGGCCGAGGGTCAGCCGCCGGGCGGGGGTCAGCCACCGTATGTCAGCGGCTACAGGCCGGGGTTCAGCCGCCGCAGGCCGAGGGTCAGCCACCGGGCGGGGGTCAGCCACCGTATGTCAGCGGCTACAGGCCGGGGGTCAGCCGCCGGGGCCAGCCGCCGCAGGCCAAGGGTCAGCCGCCGGGCGGGGGTCAGCTGGCGGGGTCAGCCGCTGCAGACCGACGTTCAGCCACCGCCCGTTCACCGTTATCATTCTACATTGAATTCAGTTCAAACTGGCCAAAAATGCATTGCGTATTTTGATGTGCAATGTATACTGCGTGCGATGAGGAGAGTGCTGCTATGACATGAAATGATGTTATATGCGCGTTGCATATGCACATACAAAGGCGGATATTGAAATGGTATGCATGGACACAGACAGAACCGAAAGCCGCGAACTGGTGGTCAAAGCCGCCGCTGATGTTGTTGACGATCATGTCAACGGCCCCTGACTTCGCCCAGTGGTCGCCTGCCGCGATCGCGGCCTGCGGCAGGCCTGCCGGCGGGCACTAACCTCGCAGAGGGTGGCATAGTTCTCCTTGTCGGTGAAGTCGCTGCCGGCCCGTGACCCCGGGTACTCCCAGTCCAGGTCCAGACCGTCGAAGTTGTACTGACGCAAGTAGCGAATCACACTCAGTGTGAACCTGCGGGGATGACAGAGATGGTGGTGTCACGTGCTGGCAAGTGCACTGAATGATGTGCAAATTGTTCAGTGCGAGATACGTGACGCTGTGGTATGGCGCTTTAGGGATGGAGCTTCCTGTCGGTCACGAACACGTTCCACAAAACGATTGCTTGTTCCTGCGCCTGCGCAAAGGAAAGCGTTTTAAATTAATACGTCGCCTCCGACAGATAGCTGATTCAAAACAGTGCAATATCAGTGCAGCGCAGTGCTGAACAGGCGAAATAAATGACGTTTCGTCTCGTCCTGAACCATGGAGACGCGCTGCCGGCTCTGCTGCATGCATTGCGCTGTGGTTCCACCGTCTCGACTGCGTAAACGAATCGACTGACATCCAATTTGCGCTTCAGCAGACCGGCAGTAAAAACAAAGCAGCGTCGTTCGCTAGGATCACGAGGTCAGCTCGGCTGTTTTCTCCGCATGACAGCACAAACACGAACGGGGCCCGTTCGGCCTTGGTTGAACGCGGAACAGCGCGCGCGGTCGGGTCTCCTGAGCTCGCTGTGCAACAATGCAGAAGGTCTTTAGTCATACGTGCAGGCCATCTCGCGGTTTCACTCGTGTGCGACGTTTACAAAGCCTTTGTGGGCTGAATTGAAACGCATGGTCGTTTAACGTTCTGGATTTCCGATCAGGTACAAAAGTTACGAATGTATCAGGCACACTGCACTTACGTATGGCGTTTGCTTTGACGCTCTCTGTCGCAGGCTGCTGCACAACAACAACAAAAACACGTGGAATCAGCGTGGCGCTAAAAGAGCATTACTTCCATTATTGCGGCGGTCACAATGTCGGCTCACACTCGGCTCACATTCACAGCTCACGGGTGCGTACTCACACAACAACGACCATCCGCTCCCCACATTGCATGGAATGTGCCCAATGACTGGTCCATAGAGCTCACCACAGTCTAACCGAGGTCACGATGGGTCATTGCCAAACACCTGAGAGGCCACACCGACCGAAAGGTCCCACGACACCCGGACGGGGCGCCCCGGAGCACCGGCAGTGTCCGGGGTGCGGAGAACCCTGCATCGCCTCGCGGGTCACGACCCTTCCCATCGCCCCGCACACGGCAGCAATGAGGAGCAATGCTCTTCACGTGCGCCGTTGCCGTAGTTCCGCGTGGTGGGACGCCTTCACAGCGGGCAGCACGTCCGTGCTCGTAAAGCAAATAGTACGGGTATAATGGGAGTAATAAAACTCATGTTAGGACGCGGATGTAAGCATGGTGTGCGGCGTGATTTGCATGCATGATTTGCGCGCACATGGTTTTGTTTGACGACTGAAATGTTTGGGTTTGACATTTCAGCATGTTTCCCATTGTTAACCCTGAATGTAAGCATGAAATTACAAAGCAAGGACATAGATTGCTTCCTCATGGCGCCTGTGAGTTGAGTACGCCTGTTCAGAATCTCATTGCCATTTTGGCTCATGTGGATGGAATGGCAGTGTTCCACACTACGATCACACATGTTTCTAAGTGAAATTCACATCAACCGTATGTTTTTTTACTTAAGAGAGATATAGCACGCATGCAGCAAAAAAAGAAGCCACTAGACACTTGCAAGTAGACTTTTGCGCCAACGACCTGGCGCATTAAATCCTAATGTCGGCGACCCTGACGACCCGAAGACCTCGAGGACATACCAGTGGCAATAAAATGACGCGTTGGCCGCCATGTCCATGACCTTGAGGGCCCGGACTGTCCCGATGGATGTCAAAACGCACTCGCCCGACAACTGTGTTACTAAACCAAACGTCCAGTCCTTCACCAGGCGTACTATCGGACCAAACTGCCCCGCGGATTTGAAGGCCACAGGGTTTCCTGTTTGGGAAGGCCGTGCCATGCCAGGAGATCCCCGCTTCACACCGTTTTCCTCCCGACGAACAATGCCGCCAATAACGCCAGGGTCGTCTGCACTGACACTGCCACAGCCACGGTGTGGTGAATGCTGATATATAACAAGATGTTTAAACTAGATTGAGACGATTGGGGCGCGACGCCTCAGCGTGCGCTGGTGCACCTGTTGTGAGGTTTGAGGACAGGTACAAGACAACTGAGGGAGAGATTACTACACGTGCACGTGGTAGTGAGAAAGAAGGAGTACAGTAGGCATAAGAGCACGGGTGAAACGTAAGCAAGATATCACAATCGTTGTTCACCGAGACTGCATGGGATGGGACGTGGCGTCTCGGATGTAACTTAGCATATCTTTACATGACATGTAACATAACATAGCACACTTCATGGATGGAACCGTTGCTCATTCTATCGTCTCTGTCTCATTAATTAGTAAACACACACTAACCTTCCTAGGCGAGGAAGATTGTTACAACCACTTCATCCGTAATACTATTGCCTCGTCTCAATCTGTCCGTAAAACGACAGCATCCTTCGGCAGGGCGTCCCAAGCCCGGCAAGCAGACGACTGCGCGGTTGGTGCGAGCTTCCTATCTGACTCACGTGCTTCTGTAGTCAGGGTCGGCGACCATCTCGGAGAACCTGCCCGAGCCCTCATTCCATCCTCCAAGCGCCAGCAGCGTGCGCAGGCCCTTGTTGTACTGCTTCAGGCCGTTGAAGCGCGCGTATCCTCCTGTGGGAGCGGGGTCAGGTAAGGTCACGTCTGCTGGGTCCGGCTCTGAGAGCGCAGGTCACGGAGGATCACGTTTGCCAAGTCTTACTCCCTTGCTTCTAAATTGAGACTTCAAGCCTCATCATCATCTCTGTTCACTGAACAGGGACTGATGATGAAGTGATGACTGGCAGTGGCGTGGTTTTGCAAAATGAGCTGGGGGAGCTGAACTGTGAAAAAACTCAACCCACTAAGCGATACGTCAACGTCAGAGTACGCGAACTGAAACGAAACCTCACCCCTGATCACTGGCATCTATCGTGATGCAATAACTGCGAATGTTTGCCATAAATGGCATTGAACTCAGCTAATAGTCTTTAACCTTGTCTGCACTTCCTTTGATATTTAGCCAATCGTTGCATAAATGCTGCGTTCTCAAGATAGCACGGCCCTTTAACCTACGCTTTTAAACAACACACGTTTAACTCCGCAACACCTCCGCAACCAGAAATGTTTGTCACGCCACAGTGAGTTCGTCACGGCCTGATCATTGCTGCAACATTGCTCGGTAATCAGCGCGCCCCTGGTCGACGCTGTGCCAGCGATTTCCCACCGTTTCAATGCTCAACAGAAGCGCACGCCTGTGTCTCGTTTGTTCTGCATATGAATCCACTGAGGCTGCTTTTGCAACCTTCCGTCGGTCAGAGATTACCCGTCACGCAACGGCAGTTCACCGCTTCCCTGCCCCCCCCCACCCCCTCCCCCCTCCACTCTCCCTTCGGAGTATAATCCCGTGGTGAGGACCAGCCCGCCACCTGTTAACCCCGGGGTGAGGAGCAGCCCATCACCTGCTAACCAGACCACCGGCCGCCACCCTGTACAGCATATCATGTTTGCGCGACGGCCTCGCCGTTTTTGCCGGCCGCCGGGACGGCTCAGCCTGATTGGTCGTCACGCCCGACAGCAGCTGACCGTGGCCGTCGCCCAGCCAACGGCCCCGCGCACGCGCACAACCGCGCCCGTCACGCCGAGCGCGTGACGGTCGCGCGCGACCGGTCGCGCGCTTTGATCGCGACCAGCGCCCGCGGCGGCCGGGTCGTCTGTGCAATCGCCACCGCGGCGAGGTGGCCGTGGTGGTCACGGGGAGGGGGGGGGGGGGCGGGCTGGTCAGAAGCGGCCGTCGACGCGTCCGGCCGACCCCGCCCGCGCCGGCTCGACCTCCCCCCTGAGCGTGTCCGGCGGCTTGGCCCGGTCTCGGACCGATTGGGCCACCATATCGCAGCGTGCGTCACAATAGGACACGGCCCGAACGTAGGCTAGACTGACCGCGGCATTGTTTGAGGTGGGCGTGGGTTCTCACGTGGGGTGTGTGCCGACATGCTCTCTCGAGTGCGTTGCAGGCTGGGCGCTAGGGCGTTGCGTGCATTGTACTACTGCGGGGGCATTTGTGGGCGGCATGGGCTGCGTCCAGTTACAGTGAGGTATGGCATTGATCAGGCCGCATACAATGAACGGTTAGCTAGATATGTTCCATTGCCCAATGTGGCTCCAGGCAACTTCTGGACGCCAGTCAGCTGACGCCAGGTCATTAATGCATATCGTCCCAACAAAGGACGTGCCAGAAGCAGCACAGTACAGCTCCCTCAAGTCTTTACTTCCATGCCGTCGGTTCCAATCGTCAGATCCCGTCGCCAAGTCCATGCTATGACCGCATTACAGTGCAGAAGGACAGGGAGGCGACAACGAAAGTGCGGAACACGATCCGAGCCGTGAACTCAACATTTTTGTGACTTATTCCGATGAATTCACCCATAGAAATCATTTGCTGGACATCACTTGGATCCGTCCGCGTTGCCATGTCTCCATAGCCGGTCCGAACCACAGACTTATGTTTACCAGCCCGCCAGACAAGCAGCGTCGATGGATCTGCAATCGTGCCATGCACCGCTCTAACACGACCGCTTGTGGACACGTCTCGGGGAAAACTGGGAAACACGAACACGCTTCACATGGCTCGGACCCACGACCACCAGCCGCCTTGGTCGGGTCCAGAGCCTGTCCACGGACGCATCAACTGGTCTTCGACACGAAGACCGGTTGATGAAGAAGATGACGACGAAGACTTCGGCATCCCGTGATCTGAGCGTTCTCATCGCTCGCGCGTCCCGTCTCACCTTTCTCGATGTCCTGGTACTTGTCGAACGGCTGCAGCTGGAAGTCGTCGTCGAACCCGCCGAAGGCGTACACCAGGTGCGTGCACAGGTAGGGGTTGATGTTGGCCGGTACATACTTGGCCAGGCCCAGACGGTACACCGACCAGTTGGCGTAGTAGCACACTACTCGTTTTCGCGTCTTCTTGATGGCCGCGTCTGAAAAAGTAAAACAAACCGGGCGCGGGTTAGAGATTCCGCTGTGAAAGTGTATTGATTACCGCAGCATTCCTGCTTGATAATGATCCACAGGCTCAGTGCCGTGCACCAACTCGACAGTGCCTTTTTTGGGGAGCTGGAGGCCGCAGTAGTAATTAACACACATACGCAGCACTTTGTGCAGCAGCTGCCGGACACAAACACGAGGCGCTGCGTGAAACCTCACAACAGTCCACCGTGATAACTGGACACCAATGACGTCTGCCGTTAAATCGATGGCACCGCCACGCGGCTGAACACTTGACACACCTTGACGCGTCACGTCGGAGTTTATGACGTCGGAATCTGACCGCATCCGCTAGGTGAAGCGTTGTTTTTTGCGTGCTGATCGCCTGTTTTCGCTCCGTACAAGGAAAACGCCTGCCATCGGCTGCCTTGAGGGACACCAGGACGTGCTCATGCGCCAGCCGGTTTCAAACCAGCTGCTGGCATGGCTCAACTGACTGCACGCGCCGCCTCACTGCCTGTTCAGCATCACATCCGCCACGTGATTTTCCCAAGTAAGCCACTTTCGAAAGAAAGTATCCCGCACCAAGACCAAGTTCGCTTTATGGCAAAAGCCGGCAGTTGGACGCGGATGACTTTCAGGCGTAGGTATACCAGTCCCCTCCCCCACTACCTGTTGTGCGGCAAACTGTGCGAGCCCCACTCCACAGGCACGAACTACCAGGGTTCTGAGGCCCATTCTGGGTACGCGACCCTGGTTTGTAAAGGCGCTTTTGAGTCATTAACATACTGTTACAAAATTAGGGTCATGACCTCGGCTTTGTTCAAATAGTTTTTCATTTTCTCCTGTCCTTGAGATACCATCTCATGAAAAACAGGATTAAATGTTTTTTTTGCATGGTTTTTTGGTCCGAAAAAGGTTTAAAAAGAATCGCAGTTAGCCGTTAATTGAATTAAGCGCGAGCCCAGCCAGTGGATCTTGGTGAGAAATCGGGAGCGTTCGGCTCTGACAACTAGACCCACGTCTCAGCCTGCCGCTGGCAGCGGCCTGGGAGACCGCTCCCCAGCTGGATCCCGGGGAGCGCCGGAGGAGCGGTCGGTCTGTAACGGTTGTGAAACTGCTCCCCGGCATGACCGCATATGGCCGGTCTGTGACGGCTGTCAGCCTGCCCCCGACATGACCCCCGACATTGGCCGCTCTGTGACAGTGTGAAACTGCTCCCAGCGTAACCCCGGCAAATGGCCGGTTTGTGGTGACCGCCGGCCGCCACCTGACCCTGAGGCCGCCGCCGCCCGGTGGGACGGCTCCCACGGGAGGGGGAGCCTGGCGACTGACCACGCCCGGTACCACGTGACAAGGTCCCACCCGGTCACTGGGGCACACCCGGTCACTGGGGCACACCCCGTCACTGGGGCACACCCGGTCACTGAGGCACACCCGGCCACAGAGGGCACGCCCGGTCACTGGGGCACGCCCGGCCACTGGGGCACACCCGGTCACTGGGGCACACCCGGTCACTGAGGCACACACGGTCACTGAGGCACACCCGGTCACTGGGACATGCCTGGTCACAGGGACACGCCCGGTCACTGAGGCACACCCGGTCATTGGGGCACGCCCGGTCACTGAGGCACACCCGGTCACTGAGGCACACCTGGTCACTGGGGCACGCCCGGTCACTGAGGCACACCTGGCCACTGGGGCACGCCCGGTCACTGGGGCACGCCCGGTCAATGAGGCACACCCGGCCACAGAGGCACGGCGAGTGCATCCGGTATTATTGCAGCCACATAAATGGGGAAAAGTTGATATTGTATATATATACATACATTGCATCGTATTGTATATAAACATATATAGATATACACATAATCTACACAAATTGAACAAATCTCTCAGGACTCGAAGCTATCTCTCAGTGAAACAATGACAGTGCACGAATATACTAGCCCGTATCAAACGCAATGAAACGCATCGAACCAAAGCACACGTCCAAAATTGATTCCTTTTTTAATTATTGACATTTTGTGGTGGCAAAATGAGTTATCCTGGTCATGATTTAAATCCACACTTGGTGTAACCTGAACTAGGTGCGACCTAAATTGTTATCATGCCCTTGAACCACATTCAAGACAGCATAACTAGCCATGCCATACGCCGGGAGCAAATCAATTGCCTTGACCAATGGGTGAGGTCGATTCTGGTGATCAAATGACTGGCAGGGAATGCATTGACAGTTAGGCTAGCGCAGACAACGTGTCGCAATTTGCCATGTAAGGAAACGCGCGATGCGTTTCTAGGTCTTGATTCCCATACACAGCTTTGGTTTATTCAATAAAAGCTTGTTTGTGGCGACATATTTTTTAATAGTTTAACGGTCGACAGCTTCCGGGCTTACTATAAATGATTTCATGCTATTAAGTTTTCTGAAATAGCAGTCCAAAACACCCAATATTGATTAGGCATATATCTCATCGCGTGCGCATGCAACGTTGAATGTTTTTAACGCGGATAAGCTCGCTGAATGTAACGGGGGAAAACCTGTACCTTTTCAGAACCACAGACGGTATGTGAATTCCCGTCTCAAACAATGCTCTACATCCGCACACCCTCACGCGGCGGATAAAGGACAGTCTACAGCATGTCTTTCGAATGATTAACGATTTTCAGTTGATTTGGGCGAGGACTCATAGATAAAAAGCGATTATAATTTGTAAACTCACTGGACGGTTGGCCTGATAACGGATATTTTGCTGCTTCGCTCACTGAGTCAGCACGGCTTCAATCGGGCCAGCAATGACCGATGATTCGTCTCAGCAGGAAATAAGTTCGGAGATGGGTTCAAAACACAACCCACATGTATCTCCAGCAACCTTCCCGAAGCAATCTCTGCATTCATTGTAGCTTAATCTCATTTAATTCAAAGAGCTAACCGTTATATGGGGAAATAAAGGCTACGTTATAAGTAAGCAAAACTTGTCCGTCATATTAAGAGCCGTCCTCTGGGATAAGCCATACCAGCTTATAAATGTTATTATTTTCCATGCACGAACCGGTCACATCATTTCGTATTGCCTAGTATTGCACAGTAGACATCTACCTGATGACCCTCACGACCCATTAACCTACATGATGGCCTATATGATGGATCTGGTAATATCTGCAGCCACAAACGGCGCCACCGGCCGACAATTGGGGTTGTAGGTGCAGAGTACAGATGAGCAGTGGTAGGGTATAGATGGGCTATCACGACCATGCAACACCATTAGTGTAATGCGAATATCATGGTTATTTGAGACGCGACCCCGGCACATCCCCTCCACAGGTGGCGCCGTCCGTGCTTTCGGCCCCCAACCTAGTGACCACGTGACCAAATGCAACATGCCCAAACAGAGCTTGGAATCGCATGAAATAATCCCGGTTACTGCCTTCATCCGCCAGATCTTCGCCTGCATTCCGACACGGCTTGCGAGGCTGACAGACAGACTGGTTTGTGGCGCGCCAAGTTTGTTGCGCGCGCCACTCGCGCCCCTGCACCTCCAGGCGCTGTCACTCACTCTCACCTGTGGTGGTGGAGGCCAGGATCAGGCAGAAGGCCAGAACCGCCCACAGTGGGGGGACCTGCGGACAGAGCGGTTTGTTAGGCACCGTCGGCTGACAGCGGTCACATCTCAGGCAAAGTCGGCCGGCAGCGGTCACATCTCAGGCACCGTCGGCTGGCAGCGGTCACATCTTAGGCACCGTCGGCTGCCAGCGGTCACATCTTAGGCACCGTCGGCCGGCAGCGGTCACATCTTAGGCACCGTCGGCCGGCAGCGGTCACATCTTAGGCACCGTCGGCCGGCAGCGGTCACATCTTGGGCACCGTCGGCCGGCAGCGGTCACATCTTAGGCACCGTCGGCCGGCAGCGGTCACATCTCAGGCACCGTCGGCCGGCAGCGGTCACACCGGGCGACAGCGAAGGCTGCGTGTGGTGCCCAGGCGGCACGATCCCGTGACTGATAATAATTTAGATCCCGCGATTTAGCATAAATCCCAGGGTCAAGGCGTTTGAGAAAAACACGCACTAACCAACTGGATTTGTATCAAAAGAGCATCACCTGCTTATCAATGCATTACAAGCACCATGTGAAGCAGTTACTTCACATGGCAAGCCTGCAGATGGGAAGATGGTAGACGACGCCTTCGCATGGCGGGATAATCGCGGTGCCTGACTAAAAACTGATGTTGGAGACCAACTCAGCTCCTGGTAGCTGGAGAAAAGTATTGTAACGGAAGCTGATACCGGGTGTGTAAATGCAATGACGTTAGTGTTATGACTTGCGAATGGCATGGTTCCCATGGTTGGCAAAGTTGAAGAGCACAAGTTATCTCCAGCACGATTTTAAATCATGTTGCCTAAAACAGCACAGAAATTGAGTCTCCAGAGAAGTGATTCAGGCCGTGAACAATGCGTGATTGAGTGATTCACATGTGATTTATACGTCATAATGATTTTGGTGATTCATAACTTCTTCCGGCGAGGGCCAAACACAGACCTGTAACAAATTCACTTTATCACCGCTGCAAGGATGAGAAAAGTGACAGAAATGTCTTATGCGGTGTGTATCATGTGTCTATGTGATGATACATGTTCATCACTGTCATATGGCTCCAAAACCCGAGCACAAAAGATAGCCGCTGGTCAACAAAAGTGTGGGTAATATGTGGTTCCGATCAGGAACGTCAAAATCTCAGTCTTGAGGATATGGGATATTGATTATTGGACATGCCCAGGAGCAGCATGATGCGCAACTATGTTCATTGAACAGTCTACTAATATTTCAAATATTGCATTTAGTACAAGTGGAGTTGCCTAATTTCTAATTTCTGATAGCGTAACAGTGTAGAGCGGTTGAGCTATTTAGGAAATAACGGTTTCGTTGCACATTTGGAAATATATAGTGTTTTTACACGCATAAATGCATTCCCGCAAATAACCCTCATAGTTGTGTTCTAAGCGAGAAGCGGATCCTGGGATTACGAATTTGGCAAATTCCAGGATCCCGGGATTGACAAAACTACCGGGATTGGCATATTTTGGTGAAAATTTGAGCCTTGGTGGTGCGGAGTTACTTTGAATCGCATTGTTGGAGAGAAGGTGGTGGACACCCCATCATCACATGTTACAATCTGAGCTGGAAGCAAAAAATAAATGCCGATAAACAGTCCGGTGGCGAATAAATCCTACCATAGCCGCTTTGGCCTCTGAGGTCAATCAAAAGAGCCAGACCGCACTTCATGCTTTGTTGTCATTGGGGCTTTATGACACACCCAGCTGCTGAACCTATATGGCGTCGCCTGCCTCTCACCCCAGCAGAAAGAGCCGGTACCGCGGAAACCCAACCGCGTTCCACTGGTTTTTCAATACTTGATGCCATCGGCTATTAAACTTGAGTACGTAACTCCCTGGCGCACAGAAAGACATGCTCCCAACCACATAGGCGCAATATCGCGCTTCAGTTCGGTTTCTCAACCAAAAGGTTTCGTAAGCCGATCTAAGGCCGAACAAGAACATTATAGGCTACTAATCTCTCACCTGGAAAGCAAAAATGTTTCACCAGAAGTTACCTGATTCCCGTTCACTATCACTCTTAATTATTGTCGTACCCAGTTGCCCAGCCAATGGACCAAAACCGTTGTGAAAATGCACGAAAAGCCGTGCAGACTTCCGTCAACGTTGTAGCCAATGACTGCTTATCGTGATAAACCAGCGCAATCGTCTATTAACAAATCAGCGCGCTAGCAAGAATGAGTGGTGATGCAATCCAACTTTACACGGCAAGCTAGTGACGAATACAGCTATCAGCCGCCTGTTTATTACATGCTAGGCGAGCTTTAAGCCAAGCCCCAGACCCAGGCTGCTGTTGCACAAGCATGTGGCACGCTCTCAGTTCGAAGTTGACAGTTGGGTCAACTTACGGAATCACGTTGCAGTTGCCGAGCTTGTCAGCTGTTTAGAGCTCAGTCGAGCGCTCGCAATACAGACAAAGCGCATCGAAATTGCTTTCGATGTCTTTTCTACACGCGTGAGCTCGCGGTTTATTTCAGCTATTGCAACGTCTGTGGCGGATGCCTGTTGTTCTGTCGAGTGACGCCAACACAGCCAATGCATTGACTTAATCACACGACTTAAAAAAGAGCTGGACAGTCGTGAGGGAGGCAAACTCCTCACAGACTGAACCAATGAGCGAACCAGCCATTAAGTATCCCGCTGTGTCACTGCAGGCAAAGGCAAATCCAAGGAAAGATTTGCAATGTTCTATTCATAAAGGTGTCGGGCTCCATGTTTTTAAAAGGGATCAGGTCGTTCCACAGCAGCTTATATTATTAGTAGGTGTTTCCCTAGAACAAACTGGGGAAATTCATATTACGTAAAAAACGAATCTTCGAAGTCAATGAAATAAAAAACCGAGTCATTGCAATCCTTCCGCCTTGTTTTCCTCCGTATAGCTGGGAATGAAGAGTTGCATGGCAACAGTAGCCCGACACCGCATGCGCCTGCCATGAAACACAATGAGTGCCCGGAACATGTTGCTCTTATGAATTGTTCTGAATATGCTACAGTCCCGTATTGAGACAAAGTTGTAATTTACCACTGTTGTCCTTTTCTCCTACGATGACCAAGTTAGCGAAGCCTTGAAGCAGCAAAGCACAAACGAAGACCTTCAAAAACCAACAATGACTCCATTTGCGGTCTGTCGCTTGCCTCCCTTTCTCCACAGCGCCACAATTTTTTCTCTCTGCCGCATCGTTTGCAGTCATTATTCGGACGTCTACAGAACTTTTGGCTGAATGTTGTGACGTCGCAGCGTCCTTGAGCGTCACACGGCGTCTCGCTCCGCTCCGTCCTGCGAAACGCTTCTCGGCACAATGGTGGCTCCCTTCCGGCGCAGCGGCGCTCCCGAGCTAATTCGGTCGGCCCTCGGCCCGGATTAGACTGGTCACCGCACTGCTGACCTCTCGACCTCCAGGCGCGCCCAGGGGCGACGCCGCAGGAGCGCTCCTCGCGCGGTTTACTGCGCGGCACGTGAGACGGCGCTACTGGATAATTGCGACGCCTTGCTAGCGCTGGGAAGTTGGATTTGTTTCGGGGTGCGGGGGGTGTTGCTGAATGGCTGCGTGTTTGCGGAGCGTTGCCTTGTAAATCAACTACAAGGGCAGCGCAGTTAGTCTTTAACTAACATGACAGTTAATTCGTTAACTAACTTCTTACAGAGTGGGCAAAAATTCACATGAACGCAGTATAACATAGTTTGCTAATTAATGCATTTTTTGCCATTCATTCACATACCAGGCATTCATTCTCTGTGGTTGGCATCATTTTTCTAATCTTTGATGAAATTCTGGAAAACTTGTGCTTGGGGAAACCTTAGCCACTTGTGCATGTGCCAACCTTTCTGTTAATTTTTAACGCGAATGTTACGTAAGTATACCATACGATCTAAAGAGCAACATCGCAACATAAGAAGGCAACATAGCGGCCCCAGAGGCTGCAACCCGTAGGTTCAATAGAAAGCTTTGCCACATTAAGTTTAGAATGCAATTAACATGGAGAGCATAAGTACGCACGTACGATATAACATACGTGGATAGCATAATCTCGGTTCAGTTTTCGACTTCGACCATCACGCGCTGTAATACGTCCGGCACCACGTTTGTGGTAGACTGTGCTACCATACCTAGATGGACACTTAAGCTTAGCAAACTGAGCACCATTCTACAAACTGACGCCTAGAGAAGATTATTTTCAGAATCCGGGTGAGAAGTGACGCCCCGTAGAGCGGATGAGAAAGCACTGCGCAAGATATTCAGAAGTGAGGCAAAATCCGCCAGCAAGGGACGACGCACGGATGCGACCCAGCGGTTGCGTGCAGTGTCCCATCTTGCTGCTCCCAGCCACATAACACCCTTGCTGGCACCTTGCTTACGATCATTACTGGATTTCCCATGCCTCGCAATCATTACTGGATTCCCATGCCTGCGTTTTGTTCGGAGGAGCACGACGCCCTCCATTACAGCGGCGTCTCCCTCCTCGCCTCAGCCCGACGGTGACCTCGGGAACAGCAAACACTTCGCGCAAAGGCCAGGTGTATGCATAATTGGCGCAGACGCGGCCGGCCTGCCGGCGCGGCGGCCAGCGCCGGAAGCGGGCTGCACTTTCTCCGGATCAAACGGCGGCCCCACCGACTTTAATCCCGTGCAGGTGGTCTGTTTGTTTGCGTTTTTTGTCTGCCAATCCGTTGGAATGTGCGATATGATCAGAGACCTGCGCGCTGCGTGCCGCTTCGGAAGCTCATAGAAGACCTTGCCGCAGATGGAGATCTGCGCTCACGCGCTGCTAGCGCTATTTGCGGAGAGGCCTTGCTGCACGTGCACGTACTGGGAACGCTGGGAGATTGATGAAACGTCCTGGAGCGTTAACCAGCTAATATTTAGCGAACGAAAGTTGTGAGTTGAGATGAGGAGCTGTGTGCGTTGCCAGTGCATCGAAGGTAACATATCCCAATAGACTGTGTGTAATTCATGACGCGTCAAGAAGATGTAGTGTCATCTTCAGGTGACGTCAGGTGCTGGTAAT